TTTCATTATTAACACTTAGACATTAATAATGAGAAGAGCTTTAGTATCGTTAACTCAAACAGGAATACACTACTGGACCAAAGCCTAAAACTCTCTAGGGGAACCACAACTTTCTGTAAATTTACATTAAAAGTAAAACAGTTTAGAAACTGACAGTTAAACTCTTCATTTCTACCTCCTTAGGAAGAATAAGCTATAGATCTTTTATCAAGACATACTGTATCAGCTAGCAAATGAGGTAAAAAAACCTCAGAACAAAGCACACATACTACAAAAGAGACTCCTTTCAAAATACAGGGCTTCTTTCCTCCAAGACTGAAACAGCAGACGTATTTAGGCCATTTTTAAATTCTGTTAGCAGTTTTAGCACATGAAGAGGGCAGAAACAAGAAGGACAACCACAACTTCCCAGCAATTTTTTACCCACCCATTATTGGATCATGTGGAATATTAAAAGATGTTCTTCATGACCTAAAGTAGGATATTGATGCACCAGCTTAATATTCACTGAACTTTGAATTTACATGTACTGGCCGAAGTAAACACTTTTAACATCCTTACAGGACCCAGAAGAAGGAGGATGATGATAGCATTAAGTACAGCAACAGATGCCCAGTGTTACATGTCAGACCATCATAGCTAGACTATTTACCTCTGAAAATATGCTTTGATTGCCATAGTAATAAATTCAATCTGATTTCCATCCCCTCTGTACTGCTTGTATATACTGTTACTACTAGTAAAAATTCTATTGGTCTTACTTGTTTACAAAACTGTAAGCAACCATCCAACATACCTTTAAGGGTTGCGGGAAGAAATTGAGTTTCTCACCTATACTCTTTCCTCACACATCTGTGTCTAAATCTAGATACGCAAACATTAAGCATACAAGTTAATTAAAAATCATATTTTGTTCTGAATGTAAGAAGTCATGTTCCTTGAATGGATTTTGGAGAAAAAAAATGACAGAAATAAAAAATGGGTTCTCTTAACATGTACCTTTAAAAGACTTTAAAGTCTTCAGAAAAACTTTTGGATTCTTTTCAGTATTGTACATCTGAATCCAGCTAAATTCTGATTGCCATTAATTAGTGTTATTTATAGTTTAAAAATGTTAAATATATTATATAAGTGGACTAAAAATGTCCTAAGAGACATGCAGTTAATTTTCTTACTATCTCCTTTGTATTCAAGTATTAAAATCCAGTCTTCTGAGGAACCGTATTTTTGAGAAGAAAAATTTTGCAGATGTGACTTTCCACTTATGCATAACCCTCCAGATTCTGTTTGTCTACTTGTACCTTTACCCTAAGGATATTTCAGAAACTTCAGTTACACAATTCCCTTCAGAAGGTTCCAAGTCAAAGACACTGACTCCTGGGCTGCATTGTAAGTTTTCTTTTCTTCAGAGAAGTTCAAAGGGTAGAGTACTCTGCAGACAGACTTTACACAATTAGGAGATTAAACATCTCTCTTCTAAATCTGTACTTAGCAACCTTAAAAACAGACGTGTGTTTTGAAGTGAACAATACCTAGTTATTCCCACATAAGTCGTCTAGAGTTTACCATGAGACACTATCAATACTGAAGATGCCTTAGCATCACATATATGTATGGATCATTCTAGAGAACTGTATGGACACACCTGCATTCTTTTCTTATTTGTTTAGCACCTCTTGAGTCTAGCTCTAGCAGGTTTTGGATTAGAATGGTGTCAGCTTCCATGCAGTTGTTACTGATAATTTAGAAGAGTAACTGCTAAGTTTGGTTGCTGAATTACCACTTGCTACAGTGTTCAGTATTAAAGGAAAGTACTACCATGCCTTTAAGGCCCTCATGGGAAAAGCAACAGTCAAGCACAGCTGCATATAATTTTCTAAGCTCACAGCTCAAGTCATTAAGGTTTATTCCTCTAGGTATTCCCAAACTCTCTTTGTTCAGACCTGCTGAAAGGCAGCATCTTCTATGTTCATGCTGTGTTGTTTTACAATACACCCCCCACTTGTATATACATGTAAGCAGATATACATATTTACTAGCAAAAGTGCAGGTCTGTCATTCCACAACCATACAAGTATTTGCAAGGAGTGGAAAAAAAAAAAACAACAAAAAACCCCAAACCAAAAAGCAAGCCATTACTTTGGCTTTAATTGTGCTTAGTCATCATATTTGTTTTTTTTGGATACTATTCCGTAAGAAAGCCCACACCAAAACAGTGTAAGTATGGACAAGGTTTGGCTTCATCTACATTGGACTGTTTACATGAAAATAATATTATTAGTATTGAGTCTTCAGTTCATCACAGACTATATTTTAGATTACTGCTAATATTTTAAATACCATAGTAAACACAGAAAAAATATCAGGAAGAAACATATAAATACAGAAATAACTGAAACACAACTAAGGGAATGGTAGGTGATATTGCGCAGTAAATAAACCTTTGAGAGTATCACAATTTAACTACGTAAAATGCAAAATGTTCAAAATAAATGAAGTCTATTATACAGTAAATGATGGAATTCAGAAGCATAGAGCATTTGAAAACATTTCCCTCTAATAACTGTTGCAGAAACACAAATTTAGATATTCCAATACGTGTTGTCACTGTCATACAGGGAAGAACATCAACATTTTTGATCCCAAAAGATTTTCTGTCCTCTTTAGGCCAAGTAAAATATAAAAAACATTGCAACAACATAATGGCAATCCCTTCTCTTTATAGTACTGTCTGATACTGTTATACTCAAAGGAGGTTAGAAGGAACTAGGAGAGCTATTACTTCATATGATGTATAAGCTAGGAAAATCAGAACATGACATACTCAACAGCACAACCGAAATTATAATTATTTGTGTTAAAATCGAAACAACATTTTGACTTAGATTTTTTAAATATTTTAGATACATTTTTGTCCTTTATTTTTCCTAATTCTCCTTCTTAAAAACTAGCCAAATGATTTATAATGATAATACCGCTAGGTGAAGACACTAAATGGATTTGTGTTTTGCCAAACACTGAGAATTTCTCTCCCCTCCCTCATTCTTTTCTTTTAGAAAGTCAAGCACACTTTATACACTAGTTTTTCCATGTGTGAATACTCCTGAATGCTTCGGCATATGCCAGTTTTTACTTGTACAGCTCAGCTCAATTTATTTGCACTATTTCCTCTTAAGCTTTCATGATTCAGTCATGATATGTAGATAGGCAAACAGGATATTATTTAAGCAGACAAGTGGCAAAGAAAGAGCCACAAATGTTCAAATTTAGTTGGGAAAGTTTTGTATGATTCTTGAAAAAACAATCCTGGGAAGGCATACACAGTCAAAAGAGGAAATAAGTTAAATGGCTAAGTTTATACAGTGATGCTGCCTAGTGCTAATTATGGTGAAAAAAAACCAGCACTGAGGTAAAACCTAAATTCCAGATCAACAGATCAAGATCAACAGATTTTTCTTTGGGCTGTAACTACTAGTTGTTATTTCTTGCAGAACAGAAAATATACCTTTGCTTCAATGAAGAAAACATATCTTATATGAACACTGGAAACTAATATACAGCATAAAATATAGCATTAATACTAACTCAACATACACACAGAAAAAACAGTAATTCCAACTTTTTTTCCAGTACTGAAGCCAATGACAATTTCGTGATTAAGTATTTAATAAGACTGCTGTCTGATAAAAAGCCACATTTAAAATGCTCGCTTAAATGCAAATAACATGTTTAGAGGCAAGAAAAACTGAAACAGAAATGAAAAATGGAAGTATATATTTGAAGATGTTAATTTTTTTCGCTTTTTGGATATTGAATCTGCATCTCCTAAAATTACCCAGATGATGCTTTAGAAAGGCCTGAATATCATAATTCCACAGCAAATTTCCACATTTCCTTTATTTAAAATCAATTTAGGAATTTGCTTAAATCCTGATTAAACTAAGCAATGTCATATATCAGATGGTGAAATGCTGCACATTTTAAGTATCATATTCCTGTTAGCTAAAGATTAAAGGGATTTATGCTAACCTTGACAGATATTTATGTCTAAAGTATTTAAATGAGATCTCCTCTGATGTCTTCCCTCTTCCAGGCAAAATTAGTAGAAAAAACCCTCAAAAAATAGCATAACTACTACGTCCTTTGTGACCAGCAAAAATGTGTGAAGTCCTATTTTATCTAAATATTTTAACAGAAATAACACACAGACATATATATAAATATATGAAAAGGTTTATCCAAGAATTTACTTGAATGTTGTGCATATGTAGAAGGTATTTTGTTTTCTGCAGTAATGACACAGAGTCACATTTTATTATGAAAAAAACATAGTGGGAGCAAACCAAAAGACCGTACTTGGTTAAGGAAATGGAATTTTAGTACTGAAAATTAAACAGTGCCCAGTTGTTCTAATTCTCATCAGCTGTATTTACGTCTGAAGACATCTCCAATTTCTTATTAATAGATGTTTTGAAAGTTAGCATTTTACAAATTTAATTCATTCATGGACACACTGATTTTTCTACAGATATCCTAATTTACCTGAGAACCTTTTACTGAAATATGCAGCTATTGCTTCTTTCTTACAGATGTCATTGAGCCAGAAAAGGTAAGTAAAGTGCTTGATAAATTTAACCTGCTATTGCAACATAGTGCTTATCAATAACTGCCTTTCTGTTTGAAAGGTTCAGGCAATCAAAAGAGATTACAGAAATGCTAGAAAGCTTGTCAGGGAACTGAATGTAATGCAGTTGTCCCCCTCTCTGGTATATGCTGTCCTCAGAGAGAGCAAAACTCTGCACACCTTCCTCACACAGCTGAAATGAATGGGGCTGCTCTCCTAAGTGAAGCAATAATCTACAGTATGATTTAAAAATACATTCTTTAGTAAGGCTTTGTTCCTTTTTTTCCAAATGTCTTCTGTAGAACTTTTTTGGGTACAAATCTCAGTATGGATGAAACATAACAATTCAACACTGGTCAGCTGACAGCCAGAATACCTGGGTTGGGGAATAGATTCTGGTTTCTTGGCTCTGGGAGAGAGTATGCTGAGCGTGCCATGACCCAGAATGGTGGGTTGGTGAAAATCCTCTGTCATCAGCCACACTGAAGCTTGGGGCCGCCCACTGCCATAAATCAATCAATCAGTCAATCATTTATTAATCAGGTACTTGCATTTTCATAGTTAACATAAAAATGGGCTCTAGACAATGCCTTCTCTATGGTGATAATCTACCTTTCTATTACAGAGGGGAGTTTACCTTAAATTAATCCATCCCTTTTATAAAAGGGTGATATATTAATCTGAAAAAGTGTCTTGCCAGTCGTACGAAATAAATCAAGCCCTGCTGAAAGATCAGCATTGCAAAAGACATATTCTCACACACAATTTGAGCACATGAATAGCTCCTTCAAGTCAAGCCACTTTTTTAAGGAATTATTACATCATGGATTTGGAATTTAGATCCTTAACGTAGGGTTTAAGTTCTGCAAAGACACTTTCACTAGCTAATTTCACCCTAAACTGTCATCTTTTGGGGGGGACATCTGACTGGGTATAACCTTAACTGAAGAAAATCCAAATGATGCATTGCAAGTCTACAAGATAGCACTGTGTAGCTAACATTTTTAAAGGGTATTTATATTTTGCTTAAGAAAGGACTTTAGATTCTAAACCTCCTTGACTACAGTTTTGAAGTTTATTGCTGTCAATTTTCATGGAACATTTAGCGAGAACGGACCTTTTCACAGAATCATTTTATTATTCCGAAAGTCACATAAAAAGAGTCCTTTTCTAGATCAGGACTGGCTTAACTGCTTCTAAGGCTTCAGGCAATTTTAAGCATTTTTTCCAGCCAATGACAGACAAGGCCATCTTCAGAGTGACTACTCTGACTTCATTAAACGCCTATCGCAATAGTATCCCTGTTGAAATAGCACACTACATGCTGAAGGACGGCCAACCTGAACAGCCTCTCTAGTTTCAAATAATTGGTTGTATTCTTATTCATATGGCAGGAGAACAGGACAAGCATTTATATTATTCCATGCAGAACAGAAACCTACGATAACAAATGGGGAACAAAAATATTTTCTATAAATTCCCTGTGATCTCTACTTATATACTGGAAGCTGGTGTAAGTGCAAACATAATGACAGAATGTAAACAAATTTCTTGGAGCCTAAGTGATTAGGCAAAACAAACCAATTAATAGAAAACGTTCTTCTTGACAGTTCCTCCAGCTCTTTAATATTATACACACTTAATGTTAATTGAAGCTTTTTTAATATTTTTTTTCATGTTAAATTCATTTAGCACAACCCTTTTGCTCAAATTTCCTCATGCAATTTAACAAGCCATCTGTGTTTAAGAGTAGTTGGTTATTGTCTGGAAAACTGACATAGGTAAGAGTTTACCAGCTAATGGAAATCTGTTCTCTTACAGTCACACCTGTATTTTCCAAGTTGTACCTTAATCTTCAGTCAGCTAATTCCTTAAAGACTGGAGTGGGATCCAGTGTTACTGACATGAAAATAGGCTCCTTTAAAGAATCACCATAGTAGCTCCCTTCACCCTGCTTACTTAGGTGGCTAAACTAAATGGGACAGGACCTCTCTCTCGAGGCTGTAAGCAGCACTTCATTCTCCTGCTGGCTGTACAGATTACCAAGATACTTGGAGAAGGGTATACTGTGAGTCTGAAGCACAGGGACAAACAAAATAGCTCCTCTACCTAGTTCTTCTCAAGTGCTGAGCCACCCATGGGGCTACAGAGCATGTGACCATTAAGCACTTTTGAAAATCAGATTGTAAGTATTTCAGAATAGACTTCAGAAAACAGAGGTGGAGAAATTTATGAAACTAAAAGTCTTATTTGTAGGGAACAAACACATTTAAAAATAACATGGCATTAAAGTCATTCTTTGGGAGACATTTCATCTACTGATGAAAACCTGTGACGATCGCCTCTTTTTTTTTTTTTTTTTCACTTGGTATCTGGAAATGAATCACACTTAAATAATCTAAGCATTGTCTATATGAGGCTGAACCTGAACCTTATTTTCCTCTTCATGGGATTTTCCTGAGATCAGATTTCTGTTTCAGCTACTGCTTGTAAAACTGAGCAGTACTGCCTGTGAACTCTTCCCTGATGAAGGATCTGCAAGTTAAACTTCTGGGATGGATGGAAGCTCCTTCATCTCAAGACCAAATTTGTTGCTTCCTCTTGGACTGTCAAGGTGGGTTTTTTTCCTGTAATTTTAGGACCAGAAACCTTTATGCATTTTACAGCTTTTCCTTGTTGGACTGTGTTAGGATAGTGTCAAATTAACCATACCAGGGACTAAAATAATCTTTTTGTTCCCCAAAGCCCCAGCCTATAAAGAATGGTAAACACTGTCACCTCACTCATGAATCTGAATGCTGACTGTTTTACTTTCTGTGTCTTCTCCATTCCAGGCCAACCTAACAAGTCTAAGTGTCCCCTTAAAACCACAGCACAGCTATGAACTGGAAATCCTAGTACAATGGATAGAACCTGTCAGCAGAGGGTACAGGGTGTGTGTGACACAGCTCTGCAAACACTGTACATAAGATATTGTGGGCTTACGGAGCTTTCCAAGCAAAAACTGAGACAACAAAGCCAATACCTCCTCCTCCTTGCGCATGCAGCCCAGGCTGTGGGAAGTTAGAAATCTATCCATTATTCTCCTAAGCCAGAAAAGCTACAGTCTCTACCTGTGCATGCTTTTTAGAGAATAAAAAACCTATCTGACAAGACAGACCAACAGTTCAAAGAGTGCAACTCCTCTTGTAGTAGCTGTTAATAAATGGACACAATGTTCCTGCTTTGGCAAACTGAAAGCCATATATAAACCTTCAATCCTCATTTTTTATAGGACCTTGGGAATCACAGGATACACTGGATGCTGCAGATTAGTTAGCCTGTCTCCCCAGTAAATTCAACTGACTGCAAAAGCTTCAGCTCTTGCCTTTGATACCTTACAGAAAAGACCTCTGGAATCAATAGGGCCTTCTCATTGCTTTCACTGGAAGCAGGATCAAGCCCATTGCAGAGAAGCTTCTGGGTATGAGAACCCTGAGCTTTGGACTCCCAAAGATACATTGCTTGCAAGGTTTATTCTGTCCACCTGCTCTGCCTTTCTGTTTAAACACAGTATGTGGGCTAGCCTGAAACTCTTTTTGCAGAAACATCTCTCTAGCCTAACCTGACTTACTAGATTTAATTTTCTGTGCTTCCATCTCACTGACTTGTGGAATAATTTTGCATTTTTCAGGATAAAAGAGATGGACAGGACCTTAATATTCTGTGTTGTCAAAATACTGCTTGGATTCTTAGTTGCACTATGACCTTCAGAAAGGGTATATTGCTTGATTTGATCAATGAAGTTAATTGAGTCGTCATAGTTGCTGCTGCACTTTTTGGCCTTTAATGGCCCAGAGAAACAGGCAGTGTCTGTCAGACACTGAGTGGCACAAAGAAATTTGTGAACACTACTATTCTTCTTAAGCAGCATAGCTGAAGCTGGCAGCCTGATATCCCTGAAATTTGGGCAATTTTTTATGTCACATCTGATGCTGACATTGTCCTCAGAAGCAGCTTCATTTAGGTTTCATTACATAGGCATATTAATGTTACAGCTGAAGAGCTTGCTCACCCATGATGGGACTGGTGGCTTGCAGGAAGCTTTTACTGCACATACTCTGCTTAGGGCAGCCCCGCTACTGGCATCAGATAGAGGATGAGTTTCTGACTCCTACACTTAACCTTCCGAGCCAGGAATTTATCAGGGATTGCTGCAAGAGGGAATTGCACTTCACGGCTTCTGGTACTCTACAGGTGTGGCATGTCATTAGGTGATGTCGTGGTTTAACCCCAGCCAGAAAGACCCCTACCAAGAAAGAGAAAAACGACTGCCATTGTTAAACCCAGGACAGGTGACCACATCAATCCCCAACTCTGGATGCACTTTCTGTCAGTGCAGTTCATATTCTGCCAGTTATGGGATGATTCCTCTTCTGTTGAGCAAAATTAGGCAGTGAAAAGAGGTTTTCATGTTTTTGCTGATGCAGTCATAGTTGGACTAAATATACTGACTACTACTGCATCTGCAGTAAACATATTGCTTTCTTTCTCCATTAATACAAATGATAATACTTCTTTTTACCTGTCCTTACTTACTGTACTGTAAACATGTAGCTCTAAAATACACAACTCAAACTACTTGGTTACACTGTTTCTCAAACAGCCAGGTAAGTGATGCTGCTTTTTCTTAAGTCTGATGTGATGCTTGCAATTTCCTTGTATTACAATACAGAACTGTGCCTCTCAGTAGGCCACCAATTGTTTGAAAGTAATTGTATAGATACTTTAGTACACAGGAAGAAATTGCTGATGGTTATGCACTGGGATTTACCTGCACTTCAAAAAAGGCGGTGCAGGTGCAAAGTGATGACCATATTATACTGTCAAATGTATGTTCACATGTTTTTACTAGCGTATGCATTTTAATGGGACAAAATAAAGATTGCATTGACCCAGTCTTTGCATAACGTTGATTAACACAAACTTTTATAATTTTCCTTTCATAAAAACATTGTTTCCCCAACAGTGGTGAAACTCAGCCAGCCAGCATCACAGTCAGCCTACTGTTTAATAAATATTATAACTTTATAAAGATTACTGTATGTCTTCTAAAAAACAGGAGCGTGCAGCATATGTAATGAGCATAAAAATATTTAGCAGAGACTGGCCTTCATTTAAGAGTTTGTGAAGCCTATAGGAATTACCCAGTATAGAGATCAATAAAATACTTCATGAGAATACAGTGTCTGCCATGAGATTCCTGGGAACTACCTCAAAGGCTAGCTGACCCTATTTTCCATGCCCCAAGTATGTATTTGTGGTTGCAGGATATATTCTTTAAAGCATGCAAGGTACTGAGTAACAAAGCATGCTTAGTATGTAAGTACACTACCAGGCATTCATGCTGGCAACCAACTGAATGTCCTTTACGTAGCAGTATGTATACTCAGAAGCCATACAGCATATAGATTACCTTATGTGCGGAGCAACCCTAGAAATTGCTTTTCCATCACAGCATGTATATATACAGACAGAAGGCTGGAAATGAGCCAGACATTGTAAGAATCTCTGAGAGATTATGGTGCAATGAAGTTCAGCCTCTACAGTGCAGCCACCCACATGCACAGAAGTTCGGTTATGCACACTTCCAGTGTGTTACTGCCTTCCATCAAGAAAAGACTACTCTAGCTCATGTTTGTTCCCACTTCTTAATGGGACAGTTGAGTACCAGGCTGTTACTTGGAACATCATCACATATGGTATCCCTAGGGCTGCCAAGGATGACTAAAAATACTGGAAGTGAACAATGGGAGAGACTCAATAACCATCTTCCTTACTCCTCAGACTTGACAAAAGCAGGGCTGAGGCATGCAAAAGAACAGCATTTTAAACAGAAGGTCAGCTTCTATCATTTTGAGATTTGGTGCATAAGTTTCATGTAATTAAGCTCTTTCCTTGTGCAAAATACATACAACACAGATTATGCCACTGTAAACCTTCCCTACTTCACTATTTTATGCCTTAACCTTAACTAGGACCTGAACTTTTGTGCCACAGGAAGTCTTAGCTCTCTTTGCTAAGATTACAAGTACAAATATCAATTAGTTAAGCTGCAAAATTCCATGTAGCAAGAAGACCTTTGAGAACTAAATCTGAAGGCTGATATTCACATGGAATGTAATTCAGTCTGAAAATCTTCAGCAAGAATTACTTTAAATGTTATCATTTACTATGTAGACACTGATGTTTTAAAAGCTATATAGGATGTTATTTCACAGGATCGTATTAACATATTGCAATTAATTTTTAAGAGGTTAGCAGGACCGTGGGAACAGTATGGTACTGAAGACTCCATAGACTGTCTGAAAACCAAGTATATGATGCTACTGTCTGCCAGCTGATTGGAAGTGAAGCTATCAAGTTTCAGCCCAGCTCCACATGTAATTGGTCCCTAAGCACCACTCATTCAGATACTCTTGTTTACAATCTCATGAGGAAATTTTGGAGCTGAAGGGCTAGAAGTCTGGTAACCTCCTCAGGACAGGGTGGCAAGGTGTAAGAAGGAAAGCTTCATCAGGAGAGCCTGCACAGGTTTGGTCTATGACTTCGCTCTCCAGGGCTGTCAGATTCAGCAATTTTTGTATGAATTATTTTGAAAAACAAATTCACATCCCCTTTTCATCACCACATGTATTTTCAAAAGGTATTTCTATGTTAAGAGTAGAAATGAGGCTCCAAGTATACTGGAACATAGCTCCATGTATCTGAAACTTTAAACTCTAGGTGAATTTCCAGTCACATAAATCATTTGATCTGAAGTTTTTGGGCAACCATATGAAAGATGATAAATCTGGAAATAACCCAAGCCTTACCTTCTTGTAGAGACTTCTCAGGTCTCTGTACTGCCACATACTATTGAGGACCTGAGATGCTGCTTTCACCACTTTCGGCGAATGCCTGTTACACACATATGTTAAAAAGGAAGAGAGAGAAAGAAAGAGTGAGAAACAGACTGTTAAGTACAAGACTCCATTCATTCCAACTTTCAAATGCATTGCTATGGATTTAAACCCCCATTTAAAGTGTGTTTCAAATGTGCCACAATTGGCTGGTGTCTTGGAGGCCAATGTGTTTTTAAGCAAGGGCAATACATGTTATTTCTACAGTGCTAATTATTCAGTGAGGAGCAAAATGTGTGTTCCTCAGCACACTGAGAACAAGAATTCATCCTTAAAGCATCGTAGGAGGAAAGGGAGAGGTAGCAACTGGCAAAATTGTGAAGTACCCAACTGGTATTACGTACATCTAAGATGTCCTGACTACAACTTTTGGCATAAAGGACAAGAAGTTAGAGCCAGAGTTTCTTTCTCTATAAGGTGCCAAAGTCTAACTCTTGACAGCATGCCTAATACATTAAATGCCTCTTAACAGTGGCCAAAAGAAACACTGGGTGGGTGATGAGCACTGTTCTTGAAGTGCAGAGGTAAGATGCAGAAATACAACTGTTTATAAAAAGTCAAGTCAAGTTTCATTAGGAATCCAAATTAGGACTTGCTTCTTGCTCACACGATTAGCCTTTAATGACAGCAATATAGTGTCATGTTGAAAACCATAGTTAACTTCACATGGGCCTTCTCTTCAGAAAGGTTTCAAAAGAATCTCTAAATTATTGTTACAATACATTGGAGTCATACACTCCTCCCGGGATAGGTAACTTAAAAAATATATCTAAACCTCCAAAATTAAAAAACCAGGGAGTGTTCAGCTCAGTGAAGAAAGGTCAAATAGAAAAGGACCAGGAAGATAACGCAGCTCATTGAGGAAGCAACACTGTGCTGTACTAATAATACACTTAAAGCAGTAGAGCACTAGAAAATCTTGCAAAGCTCAAAGTCTGGAGTGAGGATTGATGGAGTTGGGGGCAGTCATTGAAATGATTCATATTTTACTCAGAAAAGGCACATGGACTGCAAAACCAAAGAGACACCAGAAAACCAGAAGTGTATGTTATTGGTTTGGGCAGGAAGTCTTCTCAGGGGTCAGGCTTTGGTGCATCCTGTGACTTCTGAGAGGACCACTGGTAGACTGGCACTAAAGCTGGTCAAGCAATGTTCATGACACAACTCATTCAATTAACTTACACAGTATTTTCCTAGGAATTTATTTGGTGACTTTTTTTTCCTCCCCTTTTTATCAATTTCTCACCCAGAGTACAGCAGTAGGTGGGTAACTGGGGAATAAACAGGAATCTGATAAACCCTTTCAAACAAAATTGTTTTTATTACGCTCCCAGCTGTGCTGGCTCGTGGGGTGCTGGTAGCATGGAACAACTAGGAAAATAACTGTGCCAATCATACCGTGACTACTGAGGAGAAACAGGAACTGTAAGAAGCCAATATGGGCTTGGCCAGTATGACCTTATGAACACCAGTTCCCTCATGCTGTCATACACGGGAAGTGCTCAAGCCCTGGGAGTTTTCCAAAAGTTAGTGGGGCCAGCCCTACACTCCTGGCACTGATATATACAAGGATGCATCCAGTCTAGTACCATGCACTTGTAGAATCATCTGCTTCATACCGGACAAGATAAATGAAGTGTTCTACTGTATTAAAGTGAGCATGCCAGAACTTCCTATCAGTCCAACAAACTGCAATTCTGATTTTTGAACAATGGATTACCTGGGAGAAACCAAACCAAAGCAATAGTGCGTGATACTAACATTTCTGAAAGCTAGGAAATGGAACGTTTGATCAAGATAGGCATTTGTAGCACTGTGACTTGACAGGTTTTCTTGTTCTAGAACTGTGTAACATGTAATAGTAATAACACAGGACTGTGACTCAGAAGTACTTGAGAGGAAGTATACCTATCATTATTTAGGAAGGCATTTTGAAATTAGTCAACACTACCTGGGCTAAATACTTTCATTCAGCACTGATACAGATTTCACAGTTATGAGGGATACTTAGGCAGGGAATTATACCCTTGGATCCCCTAAAACTTTGAAAAGTCAAGACTTAATGAGTATTAATAATCTCTACCAGATAATGAACAGGAACACAAATGCATTATTATGAGAAAAGACACATTCAACTTCAGTAGAATGGATATTAACCTGTTTGCAGTATTGGTACATCTGATGTACAAAATGTAAAACAAAGTTTTAAATACATTTAATTATAATAAAAAATGCAAATAGAAACAAATTGGCACAACTGGTATCACATACTTTGTTACACTACTACTTTTTACCCCTTACAATTAAAATGTAATAATGTTTCAGTAACGAGCTTGTTATGAAAAGGGTGACAATAGAGGAAAAGAAATGGGACTACATTATCTTGGCAATGTTCAATCACATAGGCGAACATAAGTTCTCATACCAAATGTAGGGTGCATAACTCTTTCCTTCAGGGTGTTGTCTGGCTTTGTGAGGCTCTCTTAGAGCTCTGATGCTGCAACAGACTGTGGGATGACAGGCTGAAGTTGGTGGACTGATGGGTTTTCTACACTACTGTGAAGGCTTTTTGTTTTCAAACTGCCATAGTCCTACTGCATTATACTTCTGCAGGCTGACAAATACGAGAACCAGGCAATTTTAGTCAAAAGAAGGATAAAGGGTGAGCTCTAATATGTAGGCTGCATACACAGGAAAACAGACAAGGTGAAACCATAGCTTCTCTGAAAATATCGTCACGTGTAAGATTTTGCATGTTTTGGTGCCTCACAAAGTAGCCTGCAGGTATCCTAATGCTCTCTCAGAAGAAAGGTATTAGGAAAATCACTGAATCCATTTTTGCACAATGCCCCAACTTAGGAGCAGGCTGATGGCCCAGAAAAAGGCACTGTGAAGACGGACAGTGATTTTGTATTCTTCACTCCCAGAGCAAGAGAAGCGGTAACAGGACTGTGGTAAAGTCCTTTCACAGGATCCCTCCACCTGCATGCTACCCCTTCTGTGGGGTGCAATCCAACAGCTCTGGTCTCTAATGTTTTTCAGGATCTTCTGCCCTGAGGCTCTTCCTTAAACTGCACAGGCAGTGCACACCATGCACTACCGATGGTATGTCAAAAATAAACCACAGCAGAAACCTTTGCTATTGGTATTGTCTGTTTCTTGTCACCTTTCTTAGGGGGCATACGATTTCTGATGAAACTAAAGAATTCAACTCATGACTGCATAGAGGAGGCAAACACATTCAGGACTAGTAATAACTACTGGAGATGTTAAAAAAGCACAAGGGGGTTTGCAAAACATACTTGTCTCCTTTACTCTTAGATATGCCAACCAGTTTCTCAATGCCGCCTGCGTCTCGTAAGGCCTTGGCATTCTCCATGTTTTTAGTGATGACTTCATGCAGAGTGCAGCAAATGGCAGTAACGGTGTCATCAGACATGGCCTTGCTTGCTGAGCTGTTGCTGTTGTTAGCTCCTGGCAGTCGGTGGACCAGATCCCTCATGGCATACTTGCCTTTGTTGAAAGAAAATGAAGGGAGAATTCAGAAGATACAGCAATAAAGGGTGACATAGAAGAAGTACAGGGAAAACATGCAAGACTATTAGCACCACTTCCATCACTGCATGTAATCTAATTGGCTACTGAATCTATTTGGAATAAGCTACATTTATACAATTGCATGGTCAATCATTTCACATTAGGGACTCCTAGTATTTCCATAACACATCAGTTGGAGACTTTGGATATGGCTACATCATGCCCTTAGGAAAATGAAATGATGACAGAAAAAGCCAAGTATAGATATAAAGATAACCTTAATATCACAACTCACAGAACTTGGGAAGTTCTCATCTCCCATCACACAACTCATAACTTGTTATGATACATAATATGTGCATCAGTTGTTAAAAACACTACAGCGAATGCAAAGCCAATGACATTGTTATTCGTGAAAAAATCTTCTCTGAAGGACCAGTTTCACTTACAAGGTTAATTCTATACTACATGCACTAATTTAATTAGGTTTATTAATGTTTCTTAGACTTTATTGCTCATTAGAGGACACCATCTTTTCCACACATGCTTAGTTGTATGCTTGGTACTGACAAGAAAAGGGAGCTGTTCTGAGATCTCTTCCTGTCTGATGTTTAGTAAGGAGCTACAATAACCACCAGAACTTAAAATCTCCTAAAATAAAAGGAGAAAATGAATTTTTAAAATGGTCACATTGAACTGAAGACTTGAAATTCTATTGATTACGGTTGGCCGCGATGGCCTTAAAGGTCTTTTCCAACAAGATTCCATGATTCTATGACAACTGTAACTTTTTCATGTTTACATGAACAAAGGATTTTTTTTCGCAAAATTGCACCTGAAAGTCATGTGGTGCTTGTGAAAATAACACAAGAGCAGCTTCTGAGAATTTATATATATACATGTAGTATCACTGTAAATATATAAATGTAAATATATAAATGTAGAGCAGGGTTAGCACTGGCACAGCTATAAGAGAAGCCTCACACCAATTCTATAGCGTCACTATTACATTAAAGTAATTTCTTAGCCCTTCAATGCGATGAAGACAAGATTGGAGAGGGCAAGGTCCTGATAAAGTTGTTGCTGAGGTCAGTAAAACAACTTTGAATCACCTTCAGTGCAGCTGTGCTAGGAATTTGCATACAGCAATCACCATGAGTGTATCATGCAGGATGAAAAAGACAGGAAAACTGGGAAAAATAAACATAATTAGTAATCTAATCTACATCACATTTTATGAATGAAATAACCAGGTGTGATCATTGTACAGAGTATGATAATTTAATCAGATTTTTTGATAACTTAAAAAAGTTCTGATCACTTAGTATTTGAGTACTTATTAAAAATTTTACTTCTGAATTCATAAATTCAGTTCTGTTTGTCCATATTTGAAAGCAGAGGTAAGAGGAAAATCACATCTTTTAACTATCAGAGGTTAAATTATTTTTATTTCTCACAATTTTGCCTGCTGTGGTAGAAATATAGTCAGCCATTTGGAACAGAATATTTTTAATAGAGATAAAAACTAAAATCTCTGTAGTGAAATGTTACAGGTCATGAAGAGATTTTGTGGCAACGTCAGGTCTTAGAGACAACTCACTTTATAACATGAAAAAACATTCCTAGTTATAAAAAGCATAACTTTACCAACAAAATGCATGCAGTAGGCTTTGAATCTTAACGGTGTGCTGCAATACAGATACAAACCTTTTCCTCATACTTATTTCTTTGCACTTAATATTTAATTGGTTGTTTGCATTATTAGCTTTTCAGCAATATTCATATTAGATGTAGTACATATATTAACACCACTTTCTCTTTCAGAAATGGTTTGAGCAAACTGAGTATGTTTTTCCCCTACACCTGTCTGAAACACTGAACAGCCTGAAATGCTAGGTACATCTGCATCTGTTCTACGTAACACGAGTACATTAATAGTCGCTTATCACTTACAGTGATTAGTTCAGTCTGTAGCATATAGCAAACTAAGCTTGTGTATGAAAAAAAATAAAATAAACCATGATTTGCTGTAACCTCTACTCTCCTGATGAGGTGTCTGCCACGGGTCAGGAATAAGTAGACAAATCACATCAGTGAGACTTTCTGCTTTACTCTGTACACACATCCAGAACAAATCAATGTTCCTTTTTCCTTTTGTACCTCGCTTAAAGTGCAACAGAGCATCTCATGATCTCAGTCCTCTGGTGGAACCAGATTACTGTGATCATTCCATCAGCAGTCAAAGACTGTCTCCCTTAGCACTGTGCATAAGGAAATTTGGATGGATGCCCTAAGCAGTTTTCCTGGAACTGGCCTAGTATTCCAGACAGTAGTACTGATACCAGTACACATGACTAGACACACAGGATGCTTCTTAGAATAAACAAAGGCTTTGGAGGTATCAGGAAAAGCTCATCAGGAAAACTAAAATAAACACTATCAAGCATGGTATAGGCATTCTGGACATGTTATTGCTCAACAGTTCTAACACTTCTGTGGTGCACACTCTTAAGTCAGGCATAAGAAGATCAAATCAGTACTAGATACATCAAAACAGTAAACCAGGCATTTTATAGATAATGTGTTACAGTGGGACAGTACAGCACCACTTATTCTGAGGGGCTGTAGTAATTCCAGGTCAATAATTCAATTCAATTCTTAACAGTTCCATATTTAAACTAAAATATATTCTGAGTGGTTTTGGTTTTGTTTCTCAGAATCGCATCAAATTTAGCCTTTGGTTAGAAAGTGCCGGAAGACTCACAGCGCACATTTTGCAGACCTATCATTTAGTCACTGTATAGGAGCTGCGGCAGCTGTGCAAGCTGGTATCCAGTTTGGATACACCCTGAACAGAACCTGTAATGACAATGCCAGGTCCCTAGTCGTGCCAGGTGCTTCCTGTGAAGGAGACCCGCTTCCTCCTCCCTGCCCTGTCCCTGAAGTGCCACCTCCAACAGAGCTGCTCACACATGCAGCTGAAGCAGCTGACTGCAGAGACTGGCACCACAGCTCAAACTGGCCTTCAGAGGCTCACCAGAACAAGGGGGCACACCAGCTGGAAGAAGATGGGAGTGGCTGGGCTATAGAGTCAGTCTAAGCTTCTGTTTACATGGTCATCAAATCTGTTAACAAGTATAACTGTTAACATATTTTCTGTGGTTTTAGTTCTTTGAACTCTTTGATATCTGAAAATATATTTGGGAAGAGAAAAAACCCTGCCTTAGCCATAAGAAACTGTGTCATAAATTTAATTCCAACCATATGAAATTATATTGAAAAAGCAGTAAACTTGCTTTAATACAGTTAAGTCATGAAAGTTAAAAGTTGAGTACTATTCTTTATACTGCAGAAAACATTCCACAGTAACTTGCTTGCATTCTAAATGTGTTTTCTAAACTCATACATAAAACCAGTCAACAAAATACTATTGTACTACATTTACAGGGGAAAAAAACTCAGTTATCAGTTAACTTATCTCAGTTATGTTCACCCTGCTTTACAACAGACATGAAGGAAAGAAGACTCATGTTGTCCAGCATTAGCTATAGAAGAAACCCTTCCCTATTTCGGAGTGGTGTAAATGTTGAGTAATGCAAATGAAAGCACAGCTACTGCCACATCAGCCCAACACAGCTGACAAAACATGCGATCCTTGACTTTTGCATTAGTGCATGTTACAACCTGCAGAGCATGTGCCATTAGGTTTATTTTTTCAATGTTAACAACCTCTTCTAAAAGCAGACTGAAATGTGTAATGGGAACCAGCCTTGTAATGTCAGCAAAGTTTTATATAGCACTCCTAGTAGGAAGGCTGGGGAATTCAGTTTGCAGCTTAAGAAGCCTCCCTGAGCTGAAGAAGTGATAACTGATGAGGGTCTTAGGAAGAGAAGAGGATGTGCATGAGAGTGATATTTAAAACAAACAGCATTATTAATTTTCATTAGGGTTCATACAGAACAGATTTATCCATAAAAAAAAGATTTTTTTATTTGAGCAAAATTACACATTACAAGATCCCAAAGTGATTTAATGCCTTTAAAGAGGATTTACATAATATGATTAAACATAACCAGCTTGACAGGGAAAAAAGAAATCATATTTATTTGTTCAATTTCACTCATAAAGGAAGGAAGAAAGACTACAGAGCCATAATTTGGGGGCAGCATCACAGGAAAGGGATTGTCCTGCAGGTGCTTTGGACAGCATTTTTCTGACACTATAAATTTAAAAGTTATTTTATAAGGTAGGACTTCTACCACTTTTATATTGAGAGCAGGATTTATCCCATCACAATACACTGCATCTTTCACTAAAAGATGATAATGTTTGCTTCCTAAACATTTCAACAATGTAGAGTTAGCATCCTTCCCATGATAAAATTTCATTAGCACCTTAGTACATGCTTCTGTTTCTTAATTCAGGAAACTTCTTCCTTCATAGGCTAAAACTGATAGCTCTGCTAAGAAAGATTCAGCGCAAACCAGAAGATTTAAGAGGAGCAAAATCATCACAGATAAGGTTCCACTTCTGGAAATATTTCCCTGCTATTGCCTGGAGACAAATTCACTGCTGATGTAACCCCATTGACTTCATTTCCGTTTTCACTCATCTCTGAAAAATGACTTTGACACATTGGCACATTTATTAAATAGTTGTGACATGGCTCCTAGTTTGAAAGAACAAGATGGAGAAAATTAACCTATTGAGAACACAAGAAACCTCCAACCGCTATTAATTTAAACCCTGTCCTAAAGGTAGAGCTTGCTCTAATAAATGTTATGCATCACCATTTTTTCCCCCTCAAAGATACTCATTAATTCACATCAAGTAGCTAGATACTATAAACCCAGCAAAATCCCACTACATTTTACTGTAATGTAACAGAAACTCTATTCCAGAACTACTGGTGTCTGTATGTCACAATGCATGTGAATTTTGTTCTCTTCATTCTAACATGTGTGTTCCACTTAAAT